TCATAAATGAATTCATTCATTCCCTCCCTCATCTACTACAATTGCACATTGAGGAACATGGCATTGATGTCAGGCCTCGTTTATCAACACCGTATGACAAAAATGTTTCCATGTCATCTTGAGACGGAAATAAACAAAAAGTCATCCTTTGCTTAAGGGAATTCACTCCCCAGGGCCTTGCTGAGTGCATTTTGTTGACGTTCACCTGCAGAAAAGCAGGCTCCGTCACCTCTCCACGGAATAAGTCTCTGTGGTTGTTTACCCTAGTACCAAGCTGTATGAAGGTCTCTCACAATGGTAGGCTGTTGCACCTGAATATACAAATATATAATGGCACAAACAAATTAATCTATTTATCCAACTTGCATGCAACTGTGATATATGACCAATAAAATAAATTTACCTTATCAGTGTCCTCTTCAGCCACAACTCTTCTGCTGGGTGACTGTTTGGTGGTGGTGGATTTTGACACCCTAAAGACCGGCTCAAGGGTTCCCTGAAGGAGTTGGGATGCTGCTTCTGTCCAGTGTGCAAATCTCTGTCCATGCCTTTGTAAAATATGTAAATGTATATGTACTCTATTTGTATAACACTTTTCTAGTATCACAGTGACTTAATATAGCCGAGAGACTGAAATTGTATCTGTAGAGTCTGTCATACCCTTCAAGGCAAAACCTCTCCATCAACTGAATGCACCACCACTGGCGAATCAATGGCACCTCCTCCTAAAAGAATGCAAAATAAAAAACAAAAAAAGCCACAGAAGTAGTATGGTATATTCGTGGAAATATAGCTTACCTCTGTGAATGTTAGTGGGCATGATGTACAGGTGCTGAGAACATACTGTGAAATACAAATAACACTGTACGAGTTTGATTTTATTATTTAACAGCTTTGACAAATGAAACCTTCTTACCATCAGCATGTAGATGCCACAGGAATTCCCTGTACACTGTTGAGGAAAACACTGGAAAAGGATATAGAAATAGGAGCTAAACAAGTACAGTGAACGTAGCTTGATATTTAAAAAAAGCACATGGCCCAGGTTGTAACAGAGTCAATTCTCTTTTTCATTATAAAATATTTTGGTACTAATAGTTACCTTTGATGAAAAAATTCTAACCTTCCGACGATTTGCAGAATTGTTAGGAATTTCTCCTTTTAAGAGAAATTCTTGAACCTGTATCTAGAATGCAAAATAATCCATACCACTAGACTGTCGTAAAAACGTTGGCGGTGACAGGAAGTGGAAGC